CCTTTTTATCTTTCTCCCATATGATTGTTGGGCTGTCATTGCTTCTTCATCAAGTTCTTTTCCACTTTCTTCATCAAATTCATTACTTTCAGCAAATATGTCCTTGCTAAAGATATTTTTAGCAAAGACATCATGGATATCTTCAGTAAAAAAATCCTCTGCCCAGACATCGTTTTCAGCAAAATTGTCCCTTCGAATATCTGAAACTTCCTTTCGTCTTTTTTTGGCTTGCTCTCTCCTTTCATTATTATATTCTTGAAGCATCCAAATCTTTTTGTAATTCTTTAGCTTTGGCATACTTTAGTGACGGTTCTCACAAGATCGAATTAGTTTTTTCAAATAATGAAAAAAAAAGGAAAAAAGTTTTTTTTTATAATTTCTGATAAGAAGTACCTGAATTTTCTGATGTAAGGTACCCGAACAAAAACTTAACAGGAAGAAAAAAAAAAAAAAATTGGAAAGAATTCAGATCCCGAACGCCCCAACTTTAAATTCTTAAATCTGTGCCCCACATTTTCTTCTCAGGTAAGTTGTTGGGGTATGAGAATAATTTAATATGCCTTTTAATACTAAAGAACTTTTTTCACACTATTTTTCTCGAATAAGTATAAAAATTTTGCAAGAACATTCGATTATAATATGAAATTTATGAAATTCCTGATCCTTGTAAGTATACACGTGACTTGCGATTGACCAATAAAATTGCGAGTATGAATGACATTAAATTTAATTGGCCGATCCAAGTCACGTTTTTTGTTCTATTTGTCATTAAGCATATACAAAGTGGGTTTTTTAAACAGTTATAAATCATAAATAAATAAGTTTTTTTTTAAAAAAAAAGGCTGTTAAGTTGTAGTAAATAGAATTAGCTACAATTTGACAGCTTTTTTTTTTTTTTTGTATGATTTTTCTATTATAAGTTATTAGTTTTTAAAAATTATTAAATTTATTTTAGTCTTTAAGTGTCATGCACTGTATTAACGAACAAAAAGTCTATAATTATATCAAATTTCAAATAGTTATAACAATGAACAACAAATACAAAAAACTCATTTTTAAGGAAATCCACTTCTCTATCATTTCATCTATTTATGACTGTATAAATATTGCTATCAAAACTGCATTACACCATATACACACATATATAGACCTTACCAAATACACAATTCTTATACCAAATACTATATACAATCTTCACAATTTAACTACTCATTTTTTTAAATTTTCTTTTCAAACTTCACCTGCTTCTAATATATTTATCTAACTATTGATAACTCTATCTTTCTATCTAACCAATTTTATACCGCTATTTTTTCTACTACCTTTTCTTTTAAAAATCTCTATGAACTTGATGAAGAAAGTGGAAAAGAACTTGATGAAGAAGCAATGACAGCCCAACAATCATATGGGAGAAAGATAAAAAGG